AATATTGGTGAGCCATGTAATTGGTGAGCTAAGAGAATAATAATAAAATATTGGTGATCTACAACAATGGTGAGCTATCACACATGGAGAGTTATGAAATTGGAGAATTCTAACAAAAATTAATAAAATATTGGTGAGCTATCACATTTGGTGAGCTAAGAAGATAATAATAAAATATTAGTGACCTATGGGAATGGTGCACATGGAGAGTTATGAAATTGGAGAATTCTAACAAAAATTAATAAAATATTGGTGAGCTATCACATTTGGTGAGCTAAGAAAATAATAATAAAATATTAGTGATCTATGAGAATGGTGAGCTAACCCGTGGAGAGTTATGGAATTGGAGAATTTTAACAAAAATTAATAAAATATTGGTGAGCCATTAAATTGGTGAGCTATGACATGGAGAGCTATGAAATTGGTGAGTTATCACATATGGCTCTAACTCTAACACTTAGGAAGATTCGTAAAGATTGGGAACGAGCTCTAAATATAATAGGAGAGCTACAAAATTATGAAGCTCAAAAAATTAATAAAATATTAGAGTTGTAAAATTGAGAGTCTAGTTAGCATCACATGGTGAGCCAAGAATTAAGAGAACGCATCCGACTTTGATCCCTCACATGTTGGGGGGGGGGAACTGAAATCTGGTCCACCCCTTGTTGGGAGCTAGGAACTAGGTGACTTGAGGAGGCCATTGAGGAGAGTAACTCTATTCATATTGGTGAGCTAATGAAATGTGAGCCAATAAGATCAGAGAGCTAGTTTGAGGGATTTGAGAGAACATGAAGTAAAGTGGAAGAGCTAAAAATTAGAAGAGTTGTTTTTACTTATTAATAAGCAAATAAATAATAATTATTTTTATTTATTTAGTTGTTAGTTAATTAATTAATTAATTAATTATTTTTATTTTATTTTATTTTATTTTATTTTATTATTTATTTATTTTATTTTATTTTTTATTTTTTTTATTTTTTTTAAGTATAAGTGTGATTCATGAGTGCAAAACTTACTTGTTGCAATTTGGGGTGATGCAGGTAGGAATTGTTTGCTCAAAATGAAGCGGAAAGCCGTTGTATGTTCGTCGAAGAAAGTGGCCCAAAAGTTGCCAAGCAAAGCAAGTGGGGAAGAGGCTGCTGAGGTGCCTTCTGTGAAGCACTGGTTTCGTGCTCCTTATTTTGGAGTCGGGGACAGATTCTGGCAACAATTGGAGGATACAAGGACTGTTAATCGATCTCAAGTTTTGTTGGGGTTACCTGAGGCAGAAGAAGGAGCAGAGGGGATGATAGCTCCAGAATCTATTATGCGGTTACACATAGAGCGCGACCTCTACCCATATGCATTCCCCGCTCATGACAGCTATGCTTTTACCAAGAATGGTGGGGGTTTCGATACTGGGGCTGAGGAAGTGCTGACTAATCCTTCTTCTAAAGAGGTTTTAAAGAATGCAGGTGTGTATGGTGCTATAGTGGCAAGTGTGGGGTTGAATGTGAGAAGGGAGCCGTCATGGTTGAGTGTGGCTTTTTCCCGTTGGAGTTCTAGTTCTCACACCTTTGTCACTCGGTGGGGGGAATTGACACCTACATTGGAGGATGTCTGCACATTGACTGGTTTGCCTATACTTGGTGTTGCAGATCCACTTGCTAATACATCTGTTCCGAGTCATCTAAAGATTGTATCGATTTTGAAAGCCTCAATTTCAGAGGCAGGATTCTTATTGAGCGGCTACGATAAAGGAGGGGTGTATCTTGGGCCGCAGCGTCGGGAGCATTGTAAGAATACCTTTGGGGGATGGCTGCGATATTGGTATCGAGATTTGAATCCATCTCCGGCAGAAGGAACCGAAATAGAAGAAAATGGGGTAGATGGGCCTGGATATGAAAAGTATAAGCATAGTTCCACCTACCTTGCTGCTTTCCTTGCGTATTGGTTAAGTCGGTATATCTTGGAGGGAGCACCCAAGGATGGAGTAAACCTGTCCGTGTTTGATATTGCTGCTTATCTTGCGAGTGGTCTTTCGGTTACACTTGGGCCACTGTTTTTGGGAACTCTATACAGAAGGCTTGATATGTATCAGGTTGGAGCAGAGAAGTCGAAGGGTCGGTATGATGTTATTAGTTTTGTATCGACTTTCTTCTTACAGATGTTCTTGTATGAACGGTTTCCCAGGCATGCTCCTAGGCCGACGGATTTTGAGCCTGGAGAGGGGCGAGAGCGCCGAGCTACAAGGTGGTACGGGACACGCATTCGGGGGCCGCTGATGGATATTTTTGATGATGAAAGTGAGTTTATAGCTCGTCCGTATGTTCCTCGTGTGGTTGGGGTGGTTCCGTTTCGGATGTATGACTCGAGAGATTCTGAGGTGGCTTTTGATGGTCGACTGAGTAATGCCGAGACAATGACGACTTGTAGCTTCTTGTCATGTTCCTTGCCTTATTTTATAGGAGGAGCTTATGGCTCTATATCCTATAATCCGGCGAGAGTGGCTCGCCAATTTGGATTTGATCAGGGGGTCTCTAGTCCTAGCGTAGTCCTTCCTGTGTCTGATACTTTTGAGCATTTTTTCTGTCATACTCATCTTCCGAGACTCCAGAAGTATGGCAAGTTTATTCGGACGAGGGCTGATCGTGTAGGTGGGGTAACAGTTGGTTGGCGACATTATTGGAGGGAGACTTTTGTAGCCTTTCAAGAGTTTCTCGGGGGTGATATTGGGGACTTAGAGTTTATATGCATTCCATCGGATAACGAACTGTGTCAACCACGCGTGAAAGGCCGGACTGAATTGGCTAGAGGCGAGTTGTCTCGATTTGCACGTTTAGAGTTACTCTCTGATGTGTTGACTCAGGCGAGGGTGGTTAAGAAGGAGCCTTCCCAGAGAATAAAGGTTAGCTTCTTTTTTATTTTTATTTTTAGTGACTTCCTTTATGTGCTTCTAAGTTGGGCGCTTCGTTTCTTTAGGTACAAAGGTCAGCTATCCATCATGATGTTTCTGTGGCACTTAGGGTGGCGGGCGTGCCTTTTGAGGAGGAGAACTCTGCTGGTGATTTGCTTCCGCGTCGGCGGTTGCGGAAACAAAGTAATGCTAAAGGTTTTAGTGATTCCGAAAGTGAGGGTGACGATGGGGATAGCTCAGAGGCGAATTTGAATGCGAGAGATGATGATGTTGTTAAAGTTACATTCGAGCGGGCAGATGCTCCTCTTGATAGGATGAGATCTGAGGTTGTTGCGCCATGTGGTGAGAGTAGAGTGACTTTTGCACCTCCTCTATTGCAGTTAGGGCATCCGGTGGCACAGTCAGTTAGGCTTGGGGGGTCCGATGTTGATGACCCGACTGGTCAGTTGCCTTTGTCTGATGTTCAGTCTCGCCTGCCTCCTGGTGGAGTCCCTACCATATCTTTATTTGGTGGGAGTAGTGGTTTTTCATCAGTTGATGCTCGTCTTAGTGTGCCTTCAGTTGTGGCTTCAGTTGGTGCTCAGACTAGCCTTCATTTGGTGGATGTTCAACCTGGTACTTTGCCTGCTTCCTTGGGAGTTGCTACTAGTCTGCCACTTGGTAAGAGTGGTAGTTATGTCCATGATGATACTATTGCTCCCGACGGTCAGGCGAGTTTACCTTTCTTGGATGGCGAGTTTACCATGACCCGTCTTGATGGTGGTTGCGTATCCTTGGCAGGGGCTGATGGCAAGGAGCAATTTCTCGATTCCAAGGTACTGTTTGCTGGCATGCGAGATGCATGTTTACCTAGACTGAGCTTTATTTTTGATCATAGACCCAGCACTTTCATGCGTTTGGAGGCTATGTTCTTACGACGCTATTTGTTAGAGGCGTTCTATGATATGCTCAGTGGGTTTCATGGTCTTACTCCGGAGACTTCTATTGATACGTTTCAGTCATTTCAGACTGCTGTGGCTGAGTTTCAGCGACATGAGTTTGAGGTGAGCTGGCTGAGAGAGAGTTTGTCTCGTATGGAAGTGCAGGTAAAGAATCGCCATCTCAAGTTTGAGCCAGCGGAAATGGACAGGGCTTTGATGGAATTGGCGTCTTCTAGGGAGAAGGCTGTGGTGGAGTTAGAGCGGGCGACCAAGGCATTGGCGGATGTGGACTTGGCGATATCGAGTTTGAGAGAGAGGAGAGCCGTGGTAGAGGCTCAGCTTATTAGTGTGGAAGATAAGGCTTTTGACTTAGATAGCCAGATAGGTCCAAGTTAGACAAGTTGAGGAATTTCTTGTACTGGTTGAGCTAAAACCCCAAGTACTATATATATATTTTTTTTCTCTCTCAATCTTTTTTTTTCTTTTTGATTGATGATTTATTAATAGTTACACAAAACGTAATGAGAATGGAGATAGCAAATGATTGTTTATTTAACATAAGCATGAGCTGATGTTTTACATTGCCATTACATTAGTAAGAGTAAATTTCTCAGGGGTGATTCTTCACTCTTATCCTAAGGGAAATAGGCCTTTAGCCATTTGGCATTGATAGGGCTCAAGAGAGCTTGCGAGTTTGGTTCAGAAATTCTATAATAACCATTCTCGTTGGCCTCTCTTACTACGTAAGGTCCTTGCCACTTAGGAGTGAACTTGTGGGTAGAGGTTCCTCTCATGACATGAGGTGCAGCACGAAGTACCAAGTCACCTTCTTGGAATTGTCTGGGGCGCACCAAGGTATCATAGGCTCGAGCTATGTGACTTTGGTAAACTTGGAGGTTAGCTAGGGCCTTGTCCCTTCTTTCATCAAGGATCTCCAATTCATAGGATCTGGAGTCTGGAGTAACTTCACTTTGGAGGGCCATGCGAGTTGAGGGTATGGCAATTTCCACTGGAAGAACTGCTTTCGTGCCGTATACCAATGAGAATGGGGTCATTTGAGTCGGCCGTCTTTTGGATGTTCTATAAGCCCAGAGCGCCACTGGGAGTACGTGCGCCCAATCCCTTTGATAATCCTTGAGAGTCCGTGAAAGGATTCTAAGGAGTGTTTTGTTGGTCGCTTCTGCTTACCCATTCCCTTGGGGATAGTAAGGAGTTGATTTATGGTGCGTGATGTCATAGGAGACAAGGAGTTGTCCGACTTGGCGGTTGACAAAAGGGGTCCCATTGTCTAAAAGAATTACTCCAGGTATGCCGAAACGACATATGATGAATTCTCGGAAGAAGTTGGAGACAGCATCTCCTGTTGCCTTTTTTAGAGGGATGGCTTCTACCCATTTAGTATAGGTCTCTGTAGCCGTTACAATCCATATGTGTCCCCTTGATGGCTGAGAGATGGGGCCAATGAGGTCCATAGCCCACGTGTGGAAAGGCCATGGTGGGCTCGAACTATGTAAATCAGTGGTGGGTGCATGAATGAGATTTCCATGGAGTTGGCAAGGCTTGCAGCGTTTGGCATACATTTTGGCATCTGCCTCCATGGTAGGCCAATAATACCCTAAATGTAGAAGATGTTGAAATATTTTCGCTCCGCCTTGGTGCTCTGATCCATGAGTAAGTTCCAAAACTTTATGGATTTCAGCTCCTGACAAGCAACGTAATGGCTTTCCATCGAAGCCATGCCTGAAAAGTTGCTCTCCTTGCAAAAAGAATTTCGGAGCTCGCTTCTTGATTGTTGCGGCTGCAGAGCGTTCTGGCAGCAATGATGCTTCTTTGAGGTAATCTATATACACCTGACGCCAGTCGAGGGTGATTTCTGCGAAATTGCATTAAGCTTTTGGAGGGAATTCCTGGCATTTGGTGCATTTTCCCTGAAGGTCGTTTGCTTCTTTGGCCATAGCAGGCCAATAATATCCCTGTCGTTGTAGCCTCCTGTAGAGGCTCACGTCTCCTGTTCCGCAAGAACGATTGTGAACCCCTTCTAGCTTAGACTTGGCTTTGGCAAAGTCGATACATCGTGCTAGCAGACCCCCAGGCCCTCTGTAGTAGAGGACTCCTTGGTAAATCGTGAAGTGTTTGATTTCGCACAAAGGTAGTTTACCTGAGGGGGCGCGGAGCTCATCGATGATTGGGGCTCTCCAGTCGGCGGGTTCTTTTTCAGGAAAAATAGTTGTTACTGAGCATGGCATGGAGCGCTTCAGTACTTCTATCTTAGTTGATTCTTTCGCAAATTCTACTTTAGAAGCCAAGGTAGCGAGGGCGTCTGGGTGTCGATTGCTGGAGCGAGGAGCGTGTTCTATCCTTACCATGTCGAATTTGTCTGTCAACCTTTGGACAATGGTTCTGTACGAGGCTAAAGGCGGCTCTTTGATAGCATAGTCTCCATTGGTCTGCTTGACCACCAAATTAGAGTCGCCTTTGATACATAGGAGACTTACTCCTAGGTCGAGTGCTGCCATAAGCCCTAGTATCAAGGCTTCGTATTCTGCCTCGTTGTTAGAGCATTTAAAATCCAGTTTATATGACAAATTGACTTCGGTTTGATTTGGGGAAATAAGGACTATTCCAGCTCCTCCCCCTTTAGAGGTGGACGATCCATTGAAACTCAAGCTCCATTCTCCTTCGGTGTTTACTTCGGCTGCTTGGAACTCATCTCCTGGCAATTCGTCCGAAGGCGGTTCATGTTTTTCGCTAGGGAAATGAGCCAAGAGGTCGGCAAGTGCTTGACTCTTGATGGCCTTGGGAGCTTTGCAAGTGATGTCATATTCTGCTAGTGATAGGAGCCAGCGAGCTGGCCTGCCGGAAAGTGCTGGTCTAGTGAGGAGAAAGCGGATGGGATCGCTTCTGGTCATGAGATAGATGGGGTAAGAAAGAAGGTAATGGCGGAGCTTTTTAGCGGCAAAGACTAGGGCGAGGCAGTGCCGCTCAATAGGGGAATATCGGATCTCAGCTCCTTGGACAACTCTACTTATGTAGTACACGGGTTGTTCGAGTCCGTCAATTTCCTGGGCGAGCAGAGCTCCGACTGATTTCGGCGTGGAAGTGACGTAGAGGAGTAAGGGCCTTGCCGGTTGAGGAGGAGTCATGGAGAGAGGGAAAATTAAAGCTGACTTCACTCCTTCGAATGCTTGTTTGTGCTCCTCATTCCAAATGAACTTGGCGTCCTTCTTTAGTAGTGAATTGAAGGGTTGTGTTATTTCGGCCATAGCTGGGATAAACCGTCTCCAGTAAGATGCCCGACCAAGGAAGGTTCTCAACTCGTCTAGATTGGTTGGTCGTGGCATATTTGTGATGGCGGCGACCTTTGCTGGGTCGGGATCTATCCCATGGCGATGAGCGATACAGCCAAGGAACTTGCCGGCAGTGACTCCGAATGCGCATTTAAGAGGGTTCATTCTGAGTCTGTATTTCTTACAGCGTTCAAAGACTCTTTGAAGGTCTCTAAGGTGACTGATCTCCTCCTTGGATTTCACTACCAAATCATCAATGTAACATTCTAAGGATTTGTGCAGCATGTCATGAAAGATGGCTGTCATAGCTCTCTGGTATGTTGCTCCCGCGTTTTTTAATCCAAAAGGCATTACAGTATAGAAAAAGTTACCTATAGGAGTGCGAAACGCCGTCTTTGGGGCATCCTTTGGGGCCATCTTGATCTGGTTATAGCCGCTGAAGCCATCCATGAATGAGAACATATGGTGCCCCGCCGCTGAATCAATCAAGGTATCTATGTTTGGGAGTGGGAACTCATCTTTGGGGCAAGATTTGTTTAGATCTCTGAAATCGACGCACACTCGAATTTGACCATTCTTTTTGATAACTGGGACGATACTAGAAAGCCAGGTGGGATGTTGGATGGGTTTGATAAACCCTGCTCCAAGCAGCTTCACCACTTCGTCCTTGATGTTGAGCTCCACCTCGGGCTTATAAAATCTTACTCCTTGCTTAATTGGTCGAGCCAGGGAGATGACGTTCAACCGGTGCATGGTAACATCTTTGTCTAATCCTGGCATTTCTTCATATGTCCATGCGAAAACGTCCGAATATTTCCTTATCAACTTGATGAGAGGCCCCCTTTGTTCTGCTGGAAGATCTCTGCAAATGAAGATAGGACGTCTGGGTTCTCCTTCAGGGGCTATGTTGATTTCTTCCAGTTCTTGCTTTTGGGGCCGAGGGCTGTCTTGTAAACACTCTGGAGCAGGTCGGGCTTCTTGCAATCCATCTTGCTTGGCGGGGACTTGGTTAGGAGATGAAATGGCTGCCTTGAGGGGTTTAACTTTTGAGCCTTCGGCTCCATCCAAATGAGTTACCGCAGGACAATAGGATTTGTCAGACT